ATTCAGGGCCGCCGGCTTAGACTAAACAGATCATAACCCAAAAATTGTAAAAATGGAGTGGAGTTGCCCTTTAAGCGTATTACAATATGAATATAAATGAAAAGGGGGGGGGGGGGGGGGGGCGGGTGTATTACGTGAGTGGGATGCTCTGCTAATCTTTGAGGATGTCACTTTCAGCTGAGTCATTGGGTGGTTATTTTTTGTCTCAGCGGCATGGTAGCCTGATAGTGCTCATAACGGCGCGGACGGAGATATCGCACCACTTACCCAATTAGAGAACTACAAGCAGCCGTAAAGCACGTGAATAATAGGCAGTTTCATGATACTCCTAAAACATATGGTTTCGGGAACAATTCGTTTTAAAATAAATGCCACCAAAACGGCGATCGTCGCACAGAGCTTCGCCTAAAGGCTAGCCAAGCGCACATGAAGGCACTCTAGGCTAGCCCACATGGCGCGTTTTTCTCCGCGTCTGCGTCGCGTCTGCGCCTGCGTTTTGACGTCACTTCCGGCGCCGGGTAGAAACGCAGCGCTTTTAGGCGCATTCCGGCGTATCTGGAGGAGCCAGATATTTTGCGTCTAGGCGTCGCGTCTCCCGCTGCGTCCAGAAGGCAACTACCAATGAACGGCCGTGTTCACTAGTTGCAAGTAGCGTTTGAGTTTCCGCCACTGTAGGACTGTAGTTTTCGGCACAGACCTTGCGACAATGGGGATAATAATAATAATAATAATAATAATTTTATTCGCACATATTGCGATACCCACTTGGCAGAGTGCAAGGCTAGGCAGAAAGGTTGATGAGACCCTTGATGAGACGCTGCTAGCCCACCGCCAAGTAGGGAAAGGGATACGGGAGAGGAAAATAAATACAAACTCAAAACAGAAAGATACACGTGTAAAAGCGGGTAACAAACCTGCGCCATTCCAAAACAAAGCAGAGCAAAGCGCGCGCGGGCGCGCGCATACACACTCACACACACATACGCGCGCGCACGCGCGGAGTTTACAAAATTTGCACGCCCGCGGCCTTAAAGGCCGCTGTACAAACGGGACGTTTTGCAGGGAAAAACCTTTTCTCCCGAAGCTGGGGCACGGGGAGGGAAAGGGCCAGCGTCGGATGGAAAGAGCGTCTAGAGAATGGGATTAGTCTCGGGGCGAGCCATCCTCTCGAGAAAGAGTGGGGACGGAACAAAGCTGGCCGTGGGGGTTCCGGCTACCAGGTGGAAGAAAGATAAGCTTGTCAAACGGCGACCTCGGATGCGAGGACGGGCACGTCAGAGAATTTGAAAATAGCTGCTTGATTAGCTGGACGACCCAGTGCGGACTACTGGCCAGTGCTGTTAACTTTTTTTGGGCGAAGTCGCCAGGACGCGGCCTAAAAGTCGCCAGATTTAGCTAAAAGTCGTTAATGGTTGATGATGATGATGATGATGACAATTCTCTTTTAATTTTTTAATTTTCTAATTTTTTGGTTGAATAAGTTATGTAAAGGGTTTTGTTATTTGAAACAATATCTTAAATTACTTTCTCCTGTGGTGAGTGAAGTGGACAATCGGTGGTGAGTGAAGTGGACAAAATATTTCCAAGCAACTCCAAGTTTCATACTCCGAGCACTGGCAGCGTTCGAGTACTCTCCCAGAATGCGCCGAACTCGCGGAGTGTCGCAAAGAGAACTGTCGTCAAACGAACTTGCCAAACGCACCGAGTGCAAGAGACTGATGCTGCCGCCATCTATGTTGTAGAAAGAGTACCGATCTCAAACCGAAGCTACCACCTTTCTGTTCGACGGGATGGGTGGGAATGCGAGAGCGCTGTCGCTACCAACGTTTATCCATAACATTGGTCGCAGCAACCTGCTCTTTTTTTCTTTTTTTGTGCGATGACTTTAAACAACTCGGCTGTCGTAGAGATATTTACAGACGGCGTAAACTTCCGCACTCAGCTGACTCCAAAGCAGCCAGGGTTTACACTGGAGAAAACTGATGATGCTGTCTGCGCAGAAGCTTGATCCGTTTGACCGTGGTATTATGCGTGATTTATTGAAAGGTTACGGCTTAAAACAAGTCTGTTGGAATATCCAGCAAAACTTTTCGTGGGACTTTCGATTTCAATTGTAGTTACAGGTGGATCACCTTGGTGAGGACGTCGAGAACGAGTGCTTTCTCAAACAAAATACGACGGGGCAATATAGTTGACCTAGGTAAATGTTAAACATAATGATGTTCCCCAAGCCTCGTGTATAAAGTCACTATGTTCAGATGCCACGGATGTATTGGGCAGTCAAAGATTTCTGCTGTGGGAGCTTTGTCGACATATGTTAAATTTTTCACCCATACACGAATGGTGATAAAGATTTCGGGGGCCGCCGATGCGTTTGCTCTGAGCATTTCTTCACGCACTCATATACTTCAGGGCCTGTACTGCAACAGAGCGACTAAAAACTTGCAAATAAAGCACGGGTTGTCAATTGCTTCCTTTATGAAATAGCAGACGTTCACAATTCAAGCTCGCGTTTGATTCCGTTGCCCGCGGGACACAATTTCTATCAGAAAATCTACGATTTTTTTTTTTTTCCTTTCAGTGCCGCTGTATGAATGACAGACACATCGTAGCAGACGAACCCTCGCCGTCTGCTCCGCTCCTCGCCGAAGCGAGGCATGACGGGATTGCATCTTGGCGCACGCTCGATTGTCTCCGTGCAGCGAGACAGCGAGTACATGCACGCGTGAGGTATCAGCGCTGGAACGAACTCGGAGCGTGCAACCGCTCGTGGAGTGCCGGCCGAAACGAACCCGCTCCATGCTGCGAGTGGGCACGCGTGGGCACGAGTGCCATGATTCGTGAAACGAACTCGCTATAAACGACGCATGGCGTACAGCAGCGCGACGCACCGAGGCTGCGTTCCAAATTTGCTCTAATGGATCCGAGTTATTAAAGATAAATTAATTAGGCCCATGTGGGCGGCAGGGTTTAGAACAAAAAAGACGGCGAAAGTTTGTACGAACTTTTAACTTCTTGAAAGGTTTGAAGACTCGCTTCGTGCAGATAGTGAAACGTTACCCTGGCTGATCTATTTATTGACCATGCATGCTCTTCGGATCTAGATAAAGACAACATTCTTGAACTCGCTCTTCGACGCAGAAAACCCTCAAATTAGATTCCGTGGGTCTCTGGCTCGCAGCGAAGCGGAAGCTACGCCGATACCGGCACACCATCGTTCGACAGCACGTCAATTCGTTTTTATGGCGGTATGCATGAGGGCGGTATGCGGTCTCAGCAGCAGCGCAGCCATTTTGTTTGTTTACGTGACGTCACGGCGCGCGAAGAAGTCACTCGCGCTCCAAGAAATTCTTGGTGCACGAAGAGCGCACTCGAGTGTTAGTCTCCGGTGGTACTCCTGTCCGTTTTGGGGGAGCGGTGGCCGAGTGGGCTAGCGCACACCAGCTCGGAGCACGAAGAGCGAAAGCCTACGTTGCAGAACTCAGTATCTTGGGTTCAATCCCCCACCCCTGCCCGTTTCGATCTGGATGAGCATTGTACCGGCGTGCAGTCGTGTATCATTACTGCACTGGCTAAATTTCTCATCTACAGCTGGGAGACTCTTCGCCCCTTGAGGCAGACCAAATTCTAAGCTGTCAGAAATTTTTTTTTTCTTGTCCGTTTACGGTGAAAGGAGCGCCAAACGCCCGCGCTCCGGAGCATGGACTTAACGCGCCCAATGGAACGCGTGGCATGCGTGAATTTTACCTACGGTAAAGGGGTATTCACACGAGGGAGAAATCCCGGGGATCTCTCCCCGGCACGCGCGCATCACGAGATGAAAACGCGAGGCTTTTGCACATCGCAAAGCCTGACGTTTTCGTCGTGGGATGCGCGTGCCGGGGAGAAATCCCCGGGATTTCTCCCTCGTGTGAATACCCCTTAAAGCCCCTGTATCCTGGGAAAAGTGACGCCATTCACTGTTGTGGAAATGCTCGAGACACGTGGCACCCGCCACTTCTGGGTAGAACACGGCGTCTGAAATCTAGCCCAGTGCTGCGCTGTACCACAATGATCTTCCCAAGGGCTGCACGTTGAATGTATTTAGTGCATCGACGCACCTTGCGCTACTTTTGAAACATGAAGGGGCTTTAACTTACGGTGCCTTACCAAGGGGGCTTTACTGGCTTTGCTTCTTTACTTTGCTTTCAGCAACAGCCTACCGCTCTCACAGGTGATATCTAACGTTTCATTTAATATATTAACACAATAATGTTGGTCAACTAAAAAAAATGAGATCATTTTATTGGACACTACATTTTACTCAAGTCGCTGAAGTCTATCATACGTAAGAAATTGAGCAACAGTTCCATCTCACTACGCTTCCTCGCCTGCAGAGTCGCCATTGCTTTGCGCACATGCACCGCTTCCAGACGCGAATGCTGAGGAGTACGCTTGCATGGTTCCAACTTTTCTTGTCACCGTGTCAGGAAGTTCATAAGTGTGGCAGCACTTCCCAAGACGGCGAAGTCCGCTACGAACGCTCAAAACGGCGTTAGTACTGGCAGTGCTCAGCGAATTCCTCTGCTTTGTTTTCACGACGCTCAGTTGGCTGAAGACTCTTTCCACCTCTGCGTTCGAGTGCGGCAAAGAGAGCACATCGATTGATAGCTGCGCGAGCTCGTGAAACGGGTTCGAGCCACCTGCATCGCGGTATGCAAGGACCTCAGACCAAAACGCAATGGTGTCAGTGGTACTCGCCCAGCTCACCATGGTTAGCGCCTTCCATTGGGTGTCCACAAGATCTATCTTGTTCGGTTGTACTCCAAAAAGTTCCGCCAGCTCAACGATGGGCTCCTTCAGCACCCGCAGGCACGCTCCCACAGACAGCCGTGTCATGGCCTGCAATATCTTGTAGTTAGATGGCAGGCGCAGCCGGAGCTCAGTTGATAGCTTGACTGTGAATGCAATGCAACGCTGGCGTACCAAGTCGACTTCAGGACCAGCTGGCAGCGTGTTCGCTATAGCTTCTCAAACTCGTATCCCAAGTACGGCTTGGGATCTAGGTGACCATCGATGGGTTGGCACAGTGGATCTATGTTCGTTGTTGGTATGAGCACTTTGCTACATACCGTCTTTATCAGGAGCGTGAGACCTTCAAGAAGCCTGGAGGGATCCGCGTCGTTCCTCTCGTATGCCTTGTTGGCACGCTGCACCTCTCGTAGAATTGGCCGAAGGTACAGGAGGTAAAGCTTGTTCAGCGGATCAGAGAACATCTGAAACAGGAGCTCTGCGGTATAACATCCTTCCATCGATCTGGCTTGCTCAAAATGTTTGAGTAATGGATCCCATTGATCCAGGACTCTGGCGACCGCCGGCTCCAAGGAAATCCATCTTGTATCGCACACCCTTGGTATTGTTAGGGGGTCGTCTCCATCGCAGAGGCTCTTGTAAAGCTTACTGTATGCGGCCTTGCGCTTGGATGAATGACAAAACCACGTGTGCGTTTCGCGCACTAAGAAGTCCACTTTCCTCGGAAGTGTTCCTTGAACAGCGTGGGAAAGTGCCAGTTGCAATGAATGGCACATGCATCTTATCATTATCAAGTTCGGGAGGTTCCACTCACGCTTCATTATCTCGAAAACACCGTTGTTTACGCCCGTGTTCACCGAAGCGTTGTCAACTCCTATTCCGAGGAGACGCTTCGTGTCAAGTCCCATGCGCGTGAGGAGGCTTTTCAACGCCTTGACGATCGTCACAGCCGTGCCATCGTCCAGTTCGATTAGCGCCAGGAATGTAGTCACGATGCTCTTCTGTGCAGCACTGAAGTACCGCACCACCACACCCAGCAACTTGGTAGTCGAAACATCTGTTGCTTCGTCGATGATCAGGCTGTATTTTGAGTCCCCAATGTCAGCCACCAAGAGCTGCACGAAGTGCGGAGATAACAGGTTCACAATTATTTCCGTGCACTCGTTTCGATGCATGCGCAAGCCTGCTGCGCTTTTGCTGTCCATGAACTCTTTTTTGCAAAGTTCTGTCAGGTGGTCAGCGGCGAGGAATGCTGTGTGCTCACAAATGAACAAGCAAAGGCCGGCTTCACTTTTGCCACAAGAAGACTCGGTCGCGGCTGGAAACTGCAGCTTCTTCTGTTGAGAACTGCAGTACGGTTCTGATGACTTCTTGTGTTTGGTGGTGGCGGCATGCTTCTTGATATCAGAAAGCTTCGCATAAAATTCGCTCCTACAGTAGGCACAGGGTGCTTTTGTGCTTTCGTTTTCCACAGGACGTAACCAGCCCTTAAACGCAGGTAACGACTCCCAACTTTTTCTATAGTGCTGATCATACTTGAGAGGCATAACAACACTAGAACCAGCAAGTTGGCAAACTCCAATGATTGTGTTATTTGCGGGAACTAACCGCCGGCCGTCCCATTCCCAACACGCTCGCCAACGCCTTGAGTGACTCAAGGCGTTGGCGAGATCCTGATCCAGGAACAAAACAGCGGCAGACTGCATTGACGTCATGTAGCCACCCGTTTTGTATACATCTTCATCCACAGGGGGTTATCGTCGATAATCTCACTGAGGTTATCCTGGAGTTTAGCCGTAGCGAGCTGCTTTGTTCCATAACTTATCGCACAAAGCTGCTCGCGTCAAGCTTTTTTTTTTTTTTTTTTCGCGACGTTCACAAAGGATTTTACAGACGCCTGCTAGATAATTTCTGAAAAGGGGAGTGGTTCTAAAGTGGTTCGGGGTTTGAGAATGCCTTCGCGCAACCGCTACCTCGCATCGCCCTCACCCTCAACAGGGTGAAAAAAAAAAAAAAATGATCAGAGCAGTCTCCCGAAAGCCGCTGGAGAGACTTTCAAGTGACCTATCTAAAAAAAAGGAAAGGAAAGGAGAAGTCTCCAAAAAAGTCGCTAAGACTCCAAAAAGACAGAAAACTCGTTAGGACGACTGAAAACACGCTAAATTTAGCGACTTTATCGCTAAGTTAACAGCACTGCTACTGGCTCTAGAAGGTGACTCGGATGAAGAAAACTCCTTTTGCTCCAAAACTCTAAAAGCATTCTGGAACGTGAACTCTTGCCACAAATAAAAATAACACATGCATGAAAAACTTCGAAGGCACCTAAGCTTTCGCCTATGATGTGAGAATGCGTGAGCATTACAGGCAGAATTATGTTGGCGCAACTTACAATAAAGAAAGAAAAAAAAAGTTATGTTGGCGCAACGGATAGCGCGCTAGTTTCACGATCAAGAGGGCCTAGCTTCAAAACCGGGCAGGGGATGTTTTTTTTTATCCTGTTCTTTTTTTTATTTCGTTTATTTTTGTTTTGTTCGGTCACGTGACAAGAAAAATCATATAAAAAGAGACATTGTTTTTTCACGTCACCCAGAGATTTTTTATTACTTCTCCTTCTCTTCTGCCTTTTTTTTTTTTCCCCTTTTTTCTCGGTTTACGCTCCCTTTCGCAAAACTCTTTGCACCTATTTCGCGCTACTTTGGCGTTAGCCAAATTATTTTATTTATGGCAGGGAATTCTGCCGTACGTATCTTATGTTACTATAACCAACCCTGGCTTGCAATTCGCATAGAGAATTTCGTCCGGCAACCAGTTTGAGAATGACGAAGCCATATTTGAGTTATATATATATATATTTTTTTTTTGAGGTATAAGCATAATTTCAGCCTCGTTATCCGTCGGTCTCTATGATTGGCTCTTCAACTAACTTTTGGGAAGGTAGACGACGGGCATTTTTAGAAAGCACGTGTGTCGACGAGAGTGAACATTGCTGAAGCGCCTCCAGTGTGATTTTGGCCGTAAATAACTGGAGGCCCCGGGCAAGCCACCCTATGTAGCAAAGAATCTACCTTTCTGGTTTCATAGAGAGCTATGAAATCCAGAAGGGACGAATTCCAGCCGAGTCAAACTACCGGCTTGCAAACGTAATCGTGTTGATAATAGCGCAAAGGAGTTTGTATGACTCTCTCTGGCGGATATGCAGAGGGTAAAGGCACGGAAGTTATATACGCTTTTGCCTATTCACCTCCCGAACGGTTGGGTATTGGCTGCAGAGATCTATTTCGCTTTGTTTTATTACCGGGATTATATCTTGATTTCTGGGTTCCTAATTTCACAGAGAGAACGACATCGCTTTTCTCGTGTGGTGTCACGGCGGGGAGACAGAAATCAGTGTACCGAAATTCAACGCTTGTGCTCGTTCTATAGCGCTTCTAAAAACCGTGCGATCACGGCTGTGCAACGTTAAGATTGTATAAGCTGCCATTACTTGTACTCGTATTGCATCGTGAGGGAACGACTATGACTGGGTAAACAGGAATAGGGAGAATGGATGCGTGTGATTTGTTGAAGTTCGAATCAACAAATCGAGCTTCAACTAATGCGATAGCATTGCACTCATCCAACCAGGTATATGAGTTTTCAGATGGAGCATTCGCGTCTCCACACTCTAAGAAAAAAGGGAGGAGAAAGGTAGCAAAAGCGACTGTTCCTCCTTGTTGCGTACAAGTTGCCCAGAGAAGGGAGGAACGGAAGTTCAGACGAAAGGAGGAGGGCGAGTTCCTCCTTGTTTAGTTGGCGCAGGGGTAGAACATCGCGCTACTGACGAAGTGGTCAACGGTTCGATCCCCAGAAAAGAGTTTTTTTTTGTTTTTTTTTGTTTTTTGTAAAGTTTTTTTTTAAATTTTTGTTTACCAAAACACACATAAACAAACCCAGACCGATGAAAGGAAAATTAAAGTCCTTATTATTCTCCGAGGCGTTTTCCTCCTCCAGGCAGACCGGAGAAAGCTTTCGCCCTCCCGACCCATCTTCTTTCGGTTTCGTTTTTCGAGCACATCGCGCACGTTGTTTAATAAATTAATGTTGAGTTGATTGAGCTTCAGCGGCAGCAAAGGCCGCCTGTAATTCCGTCTTCTAGTCCAAACGTGCAGAACATTTCGGTTGCATTGACGTTTTTACCACTAATTTTATCAAACGAGCTAACGAAGCCGCTAGAAACAGCGAAGTTCCGGAGCAGTGTCAGCAGCGCTACATACACTGGGTAAGACGGCCGTCTCCAATTTGCGGGACACACGCGGAACTACAGCAGAGAAACCACGAGGAACTGTGTCGACGTTTTCGACGTTATGGAAATCGCGGGAACTGCGTCCAAGGAAGGCAGGTTTTCCTGTCGGCTGCCTGGGTGCCTTCCGTGCTGAGTTCGGTTCCGTTGTCCCGTGCCGAGTGCCAACCGGCGCTCAACGTGATTCTTCTGCGTGTCAGCAACATCGTCAACGTGGTTCTGTATTTCTTCGTGTCAGCGACATCGTGATGGCAGTGTTGTGGGTTGTGAACAGAAGACTGGAATTATCGCCGATGTGACCGTGTGTTCGCGTATCAGTGGTGTTACAACAAGATGAGATGGCGTAAACTGTCGGGCATTGATGCCGCTGGTCGGGCCGTTATCGGAGGGGCCGGGGTGTCGCAGGATGACATTCCGCTTTACATTAAAGAGTTTAAAACCACTTGTCGGATTAGGTGCAGCCGATCGACGTGTGGATAGTCATGTTGGAACGCTGATCTGAACGGTAAGCTCCTATCGTACAGTGGCCAATGTGACTGTCGGTCCCCGAGAGCGATTGCGCTCTGGGGAAAAGACAACACTACGAAAGTATGACGGAAAGTACGTATGTTTATAATGGAAGTTTAGCATTAAAAAAAAGACAGGCAATATCGAAAAAAAACAAAAAACGCTATCCTTTATTTTACTGTTTAAATATATTACGGTTCCTGTAGAAACTGCCCTCTAAGTGGCGCGCTGGGATGAGCGCTAGATGTTTTCGAGCTCGCAACGGCGCAGCTCCGTACACTTAACAGTTGTCGGAAGTCGCGGCTTTGACTGCATTCAAGTTGATCGAAAAGCGATTTCTGTGCCCGTGAAGCATCACTTCCAGCTGAGTGAATATCCGCTCTACAGAGATTAATTCAAGACGGCAATTGCAGCTTTGCGCGAACAGCACAAATAGAAAAACGAACACTACAATATAAATACTGGCTACGAAGGGCCATGCGGGAAAACAAACTCATGGCTTAGAACCACATTGGAGCGGCTCGATTTATTGGCTTTCAAATAATTATGGCATGATCGAGCGTCTTCTTTTTAATAAGAGATTCATCCCCTGAGCCATTAAAAATAGCCTCAGATGTATGACATTGCTGGGAAAAAATGAACATGTTCTGAATATTTTTTTTTTTTTAGGGAGTCACCGAAAAATTCCACACGTTCAAAACGACCACTATAAAAGGCGGAAACGCAGGGCTCGGTAGTAGTGATCGGGGTAGTGTGCTGTTGTATTGATGTCTGTATGTGCGATGCCTGTGTACGCGTTCAATATATGTTGACCTGATGTTTGTAGTGTGCGCAACGTGTCTACATGTGTTAGAGATTCCGAAGAAAAGGAAACGCAATTGTGGCGTAAGGAAATAGAAAATATTTTTTTGTAAAACATGAATTGGGCGGTACCTAGCGCCACCTAGCCTAGCTACGTGCGATTACTCTGCTTGACCCTGCCATCTGGTGGCAAGCGATTTAACATCCTTTTACGCTACGCGGCTACGCCATAATTTCGTGTTACCGTGCTGAGATAAGCCAAGAGGTTGCATCGGATTTGCTTTTTTTTGAGAGCGGCTTTTGGTTTTGCGGGCGAATGATTTTCACTCCTCCGTGATGTGCGGTTGACGCAACGGTTGACGAAGGAATTGTGGCTCGAGGAATAGCAAAGGTAGGACATAAAGTGCGCGAACTGAGTGCCGGTTGTCTCCGTTGAACATCGCAGTGCTGACGATGAGAAGACTGAGTGACTGCATGCTTTCGAAACGCAAGTTTCTTTACCTGCAGGGGTAAAGAAACTTCGGAAATGAATACAGTTCGCGGAAAGCTCGTGTTACGTTTTTATTTCCTGCTCCTCTCGCTTCGTGCAATGGACTTAGCGTTCTCGTTAAGCCTTACCGAGCTCGATTTGCTCGATTCGTGGCCGCCATAATGAGATGCAGTCGACGGAGGAACTTTTCCTCCCCTGCTTAAGGGACGAAAGTTTCTCCCTTTCTGAAGGAACATATGTGTCAAGAGCGTTCCTCCCTTTAGGGAGGACTATACTGACCCTTTTTTCTAAGAGTGCAGCTCGACGCTCGCCCTTCCGCGGCGGAAACGGTAAGCGCTCTAGTGAGGGTCCCCCGATTCTCCTGCTCAGCGGGCATGGTGGAACTGCTCGCGATCATGGCTTTCGAATTGTCATTTCTGAATGCAAACAATACTCTTCACTGTCCCAACGTAGTGCTGAAGCCGGTGTGGGATTGTACCTTACTGGAGAGTTTTAGTATTGCGCGTAGAAGCAAACGCAAGCGGTGTGTGGTTGCGTTAGAGTTGCGTGCCCCACGTTGTGTGTGCGCCTCATCACCATGCGCCATCTAAGACCGCAGTTTTGGACTCCGCGCACGCGCAGTGAGGAACACGCAAAGC